ACAATCGAGGAACTTATGTAGCTTATTGTTTGATTAATAACTATGATGTAATTACTGAATTACTCCATTACAGAGCCAGAATATCAATGATGTGGCTCATCCGGTTCGCAATCCATCACAATTCACAGGTTCTTGCCAGTAAAATGACAACTGTGACCTTGAGCACACTTTGGGTGAAGACCCATTAGTTGATCACTGTCTGCAAGTCTCTGACCAATACCCAACACTGACTACAGTATATCCATCACTTTCTGCAGATTAAATACTGTAATCTTAGTTTACTTGCTTTTATATGAGGAGTAATTTCAGGTGTAATGATCCCGTCAGTGCTGTCATCCGATAGGGAAAAATGTGAAGATTTTCAGCACTATGAAAAGTGAAAACCATCAGGTTGTGAGAGCCTAACTCACCAATCTCAATATCCAAAAGAAACTTTAATCAAACCTTCATCAGTCCCGGATTGGTAAACTGATTCGTGCGTACTACACAATACGAAACATTTCAGTAAACAATGCATGAACAGTCACAGACTTTAGTAAGCACAAACTTCAAAATTAGGGAAAAAACTCCAAACATCACAGCCCACTGCTCTGTCTATCATCATCTTTCTAACAGATTTTCAATTTCAAACGTTCTTCAGCCTCTCTGAGAGAATCACATCTGCTCTTCCTCTTACACACAGGAAAAACTGCGCTCTTTGTATTCACGAGACTGACAGTCTTGTGACAACAATAAACTGAAAATGTTAGTCGGATCTTTTTCCACCGCCTGAGAGGAAGCGTTTCAAAAAGGGGCATCACCTGAAATTCAATATGAAATTAACTGAATACCGAAGCCAGTATTCAGCATTTCTTTACATTTTTGGCATCAGCAGAAAAAAGCTATTGAAACAGTATTTAGACCTTTGTGAAAAACATGTTACAAAGTGTCTAGGAAAACACAGCATGTATCTTCTTTATAGCTCTTACGGCAGTGAATAAAGGAGAGTTTTTGTACAGATTGCAGAAACAGGCTTGTGATAAGTTACTTGTTAGTAATCCACACACACAACTTACATAAGATCATTTGTGGAGAGGTAAATGAGTATAGCTCACAGTACAGGACTATATTAATAATTGGGAATAGGAAAAACTTTCATTTTCAACCTAGATTGTTAATAATCAACATAACCTCCCC